TTTGTTCCCATTGTATTTTTCAGTCATTATTTTGATTGATGAATGATCAAAAGCAGGAGATAAATCTTCTTTAGAAAGTTCTCTCCATTGTTTCTAGGTAAGGAAGAGAATTAAAAAACATACTAAATTTGAAAATCTGTTTCTTTCTGAAATAAATAATTTATGAACAGAAATTATATATTCAATTTAAGATTCTATTACACTAACAAATGAAAGTAAAAAGGCATTTTACCATACCAGTTTTAAATATATCTAAAGTTTGTTGTTGTTATGTGCCATCAAGTCACCTGCGACTCAAAGCGACCCTATGTACAACAGCCTTACACCCTGCTCTATCCTGTGCCAATCTCATTGTCTTTGACACACCTACCCCCATTACCCCAGTCACTGAATCAATCCATCTCATTAAGGGTCTTACTCTCCTGTTGTCCCTCCACCCTCCCAAGGATGACATCCCTCTCTGAGGACTGATCCCTCCTTACAACATGGCTAAAGAATATCAGACAATGCTTCAGAATCCTTGCTTCCAAGGAGCAGCCTAGTATCACCCTCTCCAGGACGAATCTGTTTGTTCTCTTAGCAGTCTATGGTATATGTTAAGTTTAGAAATTAAAAACTAATAAAGCACTTAATACTTACATGTATCAGGGTATGGCAAAACAATTAATAGACTCTAGTGGGCTTTTCCTATTTAAGACAAAAGTTATTAATCACAACAAGATTATTGTCCAAATCAGACTGGTAGGGAACAACATGACACTAGAATATGCTGGCATCTTATTGTTTGTTCACTCTAGTGGAGGTCTGAGATCTCCAAGTGTGTTCACATGTGCCAGAAGACTTCTTTTTGTGATCTCTCAAAAGTTGCTGGCCCATCATGGGGCAAGAGAAAACTCAGAAAACTGTCTGAGAGCTTCAGAAGAGAAGGTAACAGAGGTAGGAATTAGACTAAGGGAAGGAGAGAAAAAGTCCATTTCTTTGTTTTGTTTTTTTTTTTACTTTTATTGTATTATTTTTACGTGTACCGTCAAATCAGATCTGACTCGTACAGGAGGAGATTGCCCCCTCCTCCTCCAGCAGAGCATCTGGTGGATTTGAACTGTGTACCTCTGGGATTGCAAGGCAGCGTCTTGCCACTAGGCCACCAGAGCTCCCTAAAAAGTCCATTTCTTTATTTACAAAACCAGGATGGCATCAGCTATCTTTAGAAGGCATGTAGATATGTTCACTTATTTACTGATGAAATACAAGTACAGTGCTACCTCTGGCAAATGTTCAAGGGCGAGAAGTGGAGAAAGAAGGTGCTTGGGTCCTAAAGATTAAAGTCGTAGAAACTTAACACCAGAGTAGAAGGCAATGGAGAGACCATAATCTCTCCAAGTCTCAGAGCTGCCGCTGTGCACTGCTGCTTCTGGAAACACCTTTACCACCTTTCCTTCTTCCAGTGGCAACAGCAATAAGGGAAACAATAATTTTGGTATCAGCAACTTTGACCCTGGCTCAAAACGACTTTGTCTACACAAGTGGATTGCTTTTCAAGTGTCTCAAGTTTTAGCACAGAAGCAAGAAATTTTGGATCAAATGTCCAAGAATTTTAATGATTTTGAATAGAAATTCATGCAAATTTTCCAGGAATTTAAGAGGCACTCAATCTGGCTTTGTGTAAAAATGGCACTGTTAAAATCAACCCTGTATGACTTCTTAAAAAAATCCTCAGGAAAATCCATTCATACAGTGCATTTGCCAGTAAAGAGGAAATTAAAAAAACCAGCTTGCCTAACTAATATATCTCTATTTATTTTGTATTTGATTCATAAAGCACTTAAGAGAATGTGAAATCTTAAGAAGTATACCATAGGAGGTGGACGACAGTGAGCAGTGTAGGTGGGCGTAACTGTGCTGCGAGGCGGTGAACATGTGAGTATTCTCTGACAAGTATGCCTGGAAAGATAAGATTCTGAAATTAATCTTAGAAACAACAGGGTAGAAAAGAAATTCCTGTGTAAGGGCCTGGTAGGACACAAGCTATGCCTAGTGGAACATTATGTCAAGAGTTAGGAAACAATTATAATGAAACATGAGAGTAAGATGTTTTCACTTTACATGACTGTGTTCATTTTCTTTCCTTGTTTAAAAGGTTTAGCCCAAATCACATTTTTTATAGTAAAGAAGATACGTAAGACACCTACTACTACACACTATACTGCTTTTGACATTAAAAAACCTAATGTCACTTTGTCATGTATCTTAACAATTCAGCACATATTCTTATTCTGAGATCAGGAGTAGTTTTATCCGAATTATGGGTTTGCAGTTTATTTTCCTTATACCTTTCTAATGCTTCATTGCATTTCCTGGTTTGGTTGGTTTTTTCCTATCATGAAACCATTTACAATCCCGAAGTAATGAAATAAACACTTTTTCTTATTGTTATATTCCCTGGTTTACTATACTGCTGTAACAAACTGGCTACATATAAAGACTTTATCACTATCCTTTTCTTCTATCATTGAAGGAAGTACATTAAACCTAACATCATTGAAACTGAGATATACTAGGGACATGATAGCCAACAATCTTGGCTGAAAACAGAGAGTACCAGATGACTGTGTTTCATAGACTACACAAAGCCATTTGACTGTGTTGATCACAACAAATTGTGGCTAACCTTGAGAAAAATGGTAATCTCAGAACATTTAATTGTATTCATCTGAAACCTATACTTGGACTAAGAAAGAGTAGTCATGGTGCAGGATTAGAAAAGGTATATGTCAAGGATGTATCCTATCTCCATACCTTTTCAATCTATATGCAGAACAAATCATTTGGGACTGGACTTTAAAGGAGAAGTGTAGAATCAGGATTGAAGGAAGACTCATTAATAATGTACATCATGCAGATGACACAACCTTGCTTGCTGAACCTGAGGAGGACCTGAAGTGCTTCCTTCAGCAGGTGGGCCAATTAACAGCTTCATGATAGATGGAGAAGAGACTGAGATTATTAACAACTTCAACTGTCTTGGTTATACAATCAACACTCTTGGTACCAGCAGTCAGAAAATCATTGCATTGGGAAAGTCTGCTGTCAGGCATGTCTCCAGAGTACTGAAGACCAACGATGTCAGTCTGGAGATTAAGTTACGCCTAATCTAGGCTATGGTCTTCACAAGTGCTTGCTATGCATCAGAAAGCTCATCAGTGACTAAAGATGATAGAAGAATCGAAGAATTTGCATTGTGGTGCTGGTGAACAGTGTTGAACATACCGTGGACTTGCCATGAGAACAAACAGATCAGTTCTGGAGAAGGTGAAAACAAGCTGCTCTCTGGAGGCAAGGATTTTGAAGCTCTGTCTCACATATTTTGCTCATGTGGCCGTGAGGGAGCACTCCTTGGAGACAGACATCATGCTTGGAAGGGTGGAAGTATAGTGTAGAAGACCCTGGATGAGGCTATCGACTCAGTGACTAGAGAAATGGGATTAGGTCTGTCAGAGACAATGAAATTGGCTCAGGATAGGGCAGGGTCACTATGAGTCGCAGGTGACTCGAGGGCACTAAACAACAAGGTACAAATGATTTAGTGAGCTAAGATCTTACTAATTTAAGATGACTAGATGTTCCACATTAATGTAAATATACTTTTCTGAAATTAAAAGATAAATACTTAATTGGAGTGCAGTTATTTGATGTGAATGGCATTTAACTATAAGAAGTATATATATTTTTCTCCTAAAAAAGTTTACCTGTATATTTGAATCTCCCTTTATATACTTGGCTCCTTCTATTATAGCCATATATGAGAATCTCAGTTGATCTGGTGTCTGAATAAGTCCCATCCGATACTTTCTCATATTCAGTAACACTTGTTTAATGTTAATATCATTTCCTTTTTCCATCTGCAAAAAAGGGGAAATAATTCAAGCTTTCTGATGTTAGGAGTTCAGAAAACAGGTAATAGAGAATTGCTGCTAAGACGTTTTATTCCTGAAGAGAAGCTTAATCCTGCCATAGTAACTGGTATGCATATCATAACCACTTCAATCCATCCATTCTCCTCATGTCTCAACATATCCTGTAAGTACTACACAGCATTTTTGATCCTTTAGTGGATTTACCAGTAACTCCAAACTAATTTTAACAGTTTCCATTTGTTTGGATAGTATCTGTAATGTTAACATAAATCTATAAAGATTGCTTTCTTTCCCTTCTTTAAAAATCAAAATAACCTCGGGAAAGCAAACCTTTTCAAGTGTTGTTCTTCCCCTTTCTTATGTGTGGATTGTAGACATGATGTCTGGGTATCCTGTAGCTGCCTGAAAATGATAGTGATAGTCCAGATCTATGAGAAATTGCCAAGGTATTATACTGCTCAGACTAAGTTCTAGTATTTAAAAAAAAAAAACACAAACCAGCTTCTCCACCCTTAGAAAATCTAGGAAAAATATCAAACTAGTTAAGAAATGTTCTGAAGTTATGGCAGGAGTTTTGCTGTCTGTCTGAATACATTCCTAACAGACACTCAATCCAACTTTCATGTTCATGATTAATATAGAAGACACCAGATTTTTAAAATGTATTGAAGTTCACATTTAATGTATAAATCCAATTACTGACTAAAATAAAATGTAACCAGCAGAGTGGTCAAGTAGAGCTATAGATGTAGCAAGATTCAATCTGTTTAAAAAAATGTTTGCCTACCAGAAATAGTATTATTAAATTATTTCATTTGAGAATTTTGCATGTGAGAAAGCACAGGAACTCTCAGATAAAATGCAATGAAGCAAAGCTATGTTTTTCAAGTACAAACAAAAAACTAAATAGAAAGAGGCAAGGTAACACAGAATTTAAAGTTATGATTCAAGAAACCAGTCTACTAAGGCCCATATTAGCAATAATCTTAAAATAAGTTCAGGAACGTAAAAAGTAAACTATAAGTAATCTTGAAGAAGTAGAAGATATTATAAATGGCTTAGCTTCAATAACAAAAGGAGGGAGGGAACATGCAAGAAATATAATGTAGATGAATGATAAAATGAGTTTAAGAAAAAAAAGGAAGAAACAAGAAAGAAGCAGGAAGATGGCAAAGGGTCAAGAGAAGTTCCTTGCTCTCCAAGTAAGAAAAGTGAACTTCCTGAAAAGTAAAACAAAACAAATTCAGGTTGAGACTGGGGTGGGATGATAGCAAAACATCACCTCTATGGGAGCAAAGATACTAATCTCAGAAATAGTAAGAACACTAAAATTTCTTGAGTTCTACAGTATAATTAAATATTTTAATTCACTTACTTTTTACAACAACTCTGTAAATAGAAACATTAATTCGTAACTAAGGATAAAGCAAGATAAGTGAAGTACTTGTTCAAGAGCAAGAAATTCAGTATTATATATCTATTTGTATTTGAAAAGGAAGAGAAAAACTGGTTATTTTTTGTAACATATACAAGACTTAGAAAATAAATCAATCTTCTGGAGGAAATTTAAAACTAACTTGGATTTATCTCTAACTGTCATGAGTAAGAGTGAGATTTTAATATTTTTGTTTTAAAAGGAGGAAAAAATTGAAAATCACAGTTCTAGAATAGGGACATCAGAGCTTTTGTCAACTGTTAAGTGCTGTCAAGCCGGTGACTAGAGGAAAATTAGGTCTAAAACCTGCCCTTATCCTGTGCCATCCACATCATCTCTGCCCACTGTTCCAGTCATTGTGTCAATTTATCTATCTCATTGAGGGTCTTCCCTTTCTTTGCTGACCTTCCACTACTCCAAGCATGATGTCTTTCTCAAAGGACTGGTGCCTCCTAGTAAGCCCAAAAATGTGAGACAAAGATTCAATGGAGTCAATAAGCAACATCAAGATATATGGAGAAAAGACAGAACTGTCAATAATTTCATTTTACCTCGATCTACAATCAATAATCTTGGTACCAAGAGTCTGCCATTAGGGAAGAAAAAAATAGTATGAAAATTAAATAACAGACACACTTACCAAAATAAGACAGGTGTCTACTAAGGAAAAAGTGCCAGATCGCCCAATACCAGCACTGCAATGGACTACCACGGGCCCATGCTCAGGGTTCAAGGAGCCAGATTCTCGCACTTTAAATAGGAAATTGAGAAATGAAGCTGGTGATTCAGGAACTCCAAAATCTGGCCAGGTGGTATAATGAAAGTGAGATATTGTTCTGGTTTCACCACTCTACAAAATGAAAATCAAGGTGGGGATAAATTAATTCTAATTAAGAGAAATTAATGTAGTTTGCATAATGTACTTAATAAGAAGTGACCTTCTGTACCATGACTTTTTGATTTAGACTTGAATAATCACTTGCATAAGCTGGGGAAGATTAATACTGTATTAAGTAAGTAATAGTTTTTTTGTAGGCATGTTCTAAACTCTTAAGTCTTCATTCAAATCACACAACAATCTGATTAAAGTCCATCTTCCAGATGATAAAACAGAGGCAAATGGATGCTAAGAAATGTAATTTAGCAAGATAATGGAGTTAGAAAATGGTGGAGCCAAGATAAAATATGAACAATGAGGTACAGAGTTCTCAGTTCTCAACAACTGAACTGTACAATACTGTTCAACGATGATTTCTTTAACTCACACACATTAGGAATTCCTTTCGTTCTAGTTTTCCAAATTTTCTACAAGTATGATTTTATATCTCTTTATGAGTTTTCTTAATTTTTAGAATTCCAAAGTTTTATCATTTTTCTTGTACACAGTATTTCCCACACCCCCCCCTCAGCTTTTGCTATACAGGCACAGAGTAGTAACTCCAGAATGAATGTAAAAAGAAATTTACTCTTTTAGTTGAAATCATTCCTCTAATTAGTGCCATTTTTAATCATAATAATTTCCAATCTAAAACTGTTTTTATGGTTTCATTAAATGTGCTCAGATGGTTTACCAGTATACTAAAAGTTCTGTCTCATAATGCCTGCTCAGCATTCAGCTCTACTTACAAGTACAATTAAATCATTGATAAACTTTATTTCTTCTTCATCTGTGATGATGTTGCCTAATGGCCTGGTGGTGAGAATTTTTGTCTTCTTGGTATTGAGAAGTAAGGCATATTAGCAGTCTTCGATTTCCTGCAGGAAGCGTTTAACATTGTCCTCACTTCCAGTGAGTAAGGCTGTGTCATCTGCATAGCACAGGTTGTTGTTAAGTCTACCTCTGATGCTAAGGCCACATTCTTCTTCACGGAATCCAAATTCTTGAGTGATTTTGTTCTACATATAGACTGAAAAGGTATGGAAAGGGGATACAACCCTAACATATACTTTTTTACTCTAAACCATATAGTGTTCCCTTGCTCTGTTCACACAATTGTACACAATTCATTCTCTCTCTAGCCACATTTCTGTCACCACATCCGTAATTTGCAAGTTTTGTATTCCTTTTACCAATTATTATTCATCATTCTTGATTGAATGCTGAGTCAATTTCCAACTGCAGAAGTTGGTAGAAATCCTGAATTTCCTCATCTATAGCTTTAGTTGTTGGTTTGCATATCCAAGCAACTGCTGTATAACAGGTGTGTCTTCTATGTGTATGAATAGTATGCATTCCCTCACAGGCTCAAACTGTGATTTATGAACTCGAAATAGTCTTTTTTGACTAATACAATGCCATTCTTCCTGAACTTTTCATATCCAGCATAACAGATCATATGACTGATGTGAAGTGGCCAATGTCAGTGCATCTCAACTCACTAATGCCTAGACTATCAGTCTTTTTGTTTGCCATTTAATTTTAAAAATTTACAATTTTCCTAGATCCATAGCTATCGAGCCTGCAAGATAGCATGGCCCAGAACCCTGCCTGGGCCATATTCACCAGAGTTCCAGCCAGCCAGGGAACAGACATGTGCCTTGACCGGATGCTATCTGAAGCTTCTTCTAATGATTCGCTATTAGTGCAAGCAGGAGTGGCATCCACTTCTGAAATAGCTTGCCTCCAGAGACCCTAAGAAATTGGAGAAATGAAGCAAGTTATACAAGTGTTCAGGGCTTTCATTCACAAGGTTGCTATGAGTCACCTATGACTCGATGGCGCTTAACAACAACAACATAGAGCTCAGTTGACCTAATGAACAGAAAGGGATGATGCTACCAAATAAAAGGTGAGTGATTTGAATCTGCGGCCCTCAGGCCTGATTTTAACTGTTTTTGGTGAAACATTCTCCTAGGTGGTATAGCACTGGTCTGTCCATTTGTGGTACAGAGGTAACCTGTCGTTGCTGAGATGCTGAACACTGGGACCATGATGTGTCAAAGGTGATAATGGTTACCCATGATGGACAGTGTTTGGAACAAGCTTGGAAAAAGGAGCGGCATCCACTTCCGAAATAGCTTGCCTCTGGAAACCCTATGAACTTGGAGAAACGAAGAAAGTTATACAAGTGTGTGGGACTTACGTTCATAGGGTCACTCTGAGTTGCCTAGTCAGCACTTAACAACAACAACAACAACAAATTAGTGTTACAACCCTTATCTGCTATTTGTTATACTGAGTGATAAATTACAGTTGGAGTGTATATATGGTACTTGTTTACGGTTTACTCTTCAAAGGACAATACTTTATGCTTTCGCACATTATTTCCTTTTAAGGAGGGAGGATTCTGATGATGTAACTTAACAACAAACATCTTTACTACTTTACCCTAAAAAAAAAAAGTATAATACTTGTCCATCCAGTCACCCATTATTATGAACACATCTTGACTGCATGTTCAATCTATCACCGACTATAAAAGTTGGTAGAAATCATCTATTTCTTCTTCATTGACTCTGGTTGCTAGTGCATATATCTGAATGATAGTGGACTTCCTTGTAAGCGTATGGATGTAATCCTGTCACTCACAATATTGTACTTCAAGATGGATCTAGAAATTACTTTTTTAACTATGAAAGCAACCCCATTTTTTCTCACCTTTTCATCTCTGGAGTAATATATCATATGATCAGCAGACTCAAAATGTCCCATGCCAGTCCATCTCATCTCTCCAATGCCTAGTATGTCAATATTTATGCGTTCCAATTCTTTCTTAACAATTTCTAATTTTCCTACATTCATGGTTTTCACATTCCATGTTCCAATCAGTAGTGTCTGCTAACAACTGTTCCTCTTCCTTTGTATTTCCACACTTGAAAGATCTACCTACGTTGCCCTTTCTGTTAGTCTACGTGTGTTCTGTTGTACATAGGGTTTTAAAAGTTGGGAACAGAGAAGAAGAATCAGTAGCTGGAAAACATGGACTTGGTGACAGAAACAACGCAGTAGAGAGAATGACTGAATTTTGTATAATCAATGACTTATTCATTGCAAATACGTTTTTAAGAAACATAAATGCAGGTTATACACATGGATTTCACCTGATGGTATGCATAGGAATCAGATCAATTACATCTGAGAGAAAAAACGCTGGAGAAGCTCAGTATCAGCTGTGAAAACTAGGCCAGGAGCTGATTGTGGAACAGACCACCAACTACTCATATGCAAGTTCAAGCTGAAGCTGAGGAAAATGAAACTAAATCCATGGGAGCCAAAATATGACTTTGAGTTCATGCCACCTGAATTTCAGAATCATCTCAGGAACATCTTTGAGGCCTTGAACACTAATGAGTGACGACCAGATGAGTTGTGGGAGAATGTCAAATGTATCAACGAGGAAGAGTGCAAATGGTCATTACAAAGACAGAAGAGGAAGAAAAGACGAAAATGGATATCAGAAGAAACTCTGAAGATTGCACTGGAGCAGCAGAGAAGCCAAAATACAAGAAAGAATTCAAGACACTAAAGAGCTGAACAGAAGATTCCAAAAGGCAGCACGGGAAGACAAAGCAAAATATTACAATGAAATGAGCTAGGAGCTAGAGTAGGAAAATCAAAAGGGCCGAACTTGTTCAGCATTTCTTAAGCTCAAGGAACTGAAGAACAAATTCAAACCTCAAGTTGCTATAACCAAGGATGCTTTAGGCATAATATTAAATGATCCAGGAAGTATTAAAAGAAGATGGAAGGAATATACTGAGTCATTGTATCGAAAGGAATTGGCAGATACAGAAGAATTTAATGAAATAACATTTGAGCAAAGCCTATGGTGATGAAGGAAGAAGTTCAAGCTGCTTTGAAGGAAATAGGAAAAAAACAAGGCCCCAGGAACAGATGGTATACCAACTGACATATTTCAACTAACAGATGCTGCCCTGGATGTGCTCACCAAGTTGGGCCAAGAAATCTGGAGAACAACTACTTGACCAACTGACTTTAAGAGATCTATTATTTGTTCCCATTCCAAAGAAAGGTGACCCAACTGAGTGTGGAAACTACAGAACAATATCATTGATTTCACATGGAAGCAAGATTCTACTGAAGATTATTCAAAAATGAATGGAACAGCACATCAGCAGAGAACTGCCAGAAGTCCAGGCTGGGTTTAGAAGGGGTCGTGGTACTAGGGATATTGTAGCTAATGCTAGATGGATCCTTGCTGAAAGCAGGGAATACCAGAAGAATGTCTATCTGTGTTTCATTGATTATGCAAAGGTGCTTGACTATGTGGATCATAACAAACTGTGGCTGACTCTGAGAAGAATGGGAATCCCAGAACACTTAACCGTGCTAATGCAAAACTTATACTTGGACCAAGAGACAGTCATTAGAACAGAGCAGGGTAACACTGCATGGATCAAAATTGGGAAGGGCGGATGCCAGGGATTTGTCCTATCTCCATACCTTTGCAACCTGTATGCAGATCAGATCATCCGAGAGGCTGGGCTCTATGAGGAGAAGTGTGGCATCAGGATTAGTGGAATAACTATTAAAAATCTACATTAGGCAGATGACACAACCCTGCTAACTAAAACTGAGGACGACCTCATGCACTTGCTGTAGAGGGTCAAGGACTGCAGCCTTCAGTATGGACTGAGGATCAATGTCAAGAAGACAAAGAATCTCACCACTGGACCAAAAGACAGCATCAGGATGGATAGCGAAGAGACTGAGATTGTTCACAGTTTCAGATTGCTCGGCTCCACGGACAACACTCTTGATACCAGCAGCCAGGAAATAAAAAAACATATTGCGATGAGAACGTCTGCGGTTAGGGATCTCTGTAAAGTACTCAAGAGCAACAGTGTGTCTCTGGAGATTAAGGTACGTCTGATACAGGCCATGGTCTTTGCAATCACTTGTTATGCATCAGAGAGTTGGACAATGACTAGGGAAGACAGAAGGAGAATTGATGCCCTTGAGCTGTGGTACTGGAGAAGAGTACTGAATGTATCATGGACTGCCAAGAAAACAGATTCATCTTGGAGAGGATTAAACCAAGCTACTCCTTGGAGGCAAGGATTCTGGGGCTTCATCTGACATATTTTGGACATGTTGTAAGGAGGGACAGGTCCTTGGAGAGGTATGTCATGCTTGGGAGGGTGGAGGGACAGTATAGGAGGGGAAAACCCTCTATGAGGTGGACTGGATTCAGTGACTGGGGTAATCGGGATAGGTGTGTCAGAGTCAGTGCGATTGGCACAGGATAGAGCAGGGGTTAGGGCTGTTGTACACAGGGTCGCTATGAGTCGCAAGCAACTTGATGGCACAGAACAACAACTTCTCCATCATGTTGCTGTGATACTGGAAGCCATACCACTGGTGTGTGTGAGGTACTAGCAGGCACACTCATAGTGGACACGCTTCAGCAGAGCTTCCAGATTGAACACAGTCTGGGAAGCAGGATTAGCTACCCAATTATGAAATAACAGGCCTCTGAAAACCGAACGAACATTGCTGGACACTGACAGATACAGTAAAAGTAGAACCCTTATATTCAGTCTGTTGTCTCAGCCACATGCAATTTTTTCTCTCTTGTTCTTAAATGCTACACTATCCTTCTAACATTCCCAGTTCTTACTAAAAATTGTAAATTAATTAAGTGATTGAGTGTTACAAACCAGGTCACTAAGAAATTCAGTGATCATTTGATTACATCACACTAACAGCTAAAATAAGTCTAAGTGGTTTATTTAGGCTCAACATAAATGGCCTCAATGTCAGAAAGATGCTTCATAACCAAGAATATTCCCTGAGAGCAATTAACATGGTTTGTTCAAAATATTTATCTTCTTCAATAGAAGACTGACAAACCTAGATATGAGTTCTGGCCTGTCATTTATTTGGGTTGAAATCTAGGAAAAATCCTTTTAAAATAATGGGTTTTGGTATTTTTAATTTTTTTATACGAAATGAAGAGTTTACAAGAATATTTACCCAGTTCAAATCACAGGAAGACTAATAGCATGGAGGTGCTTTGCCATCTAAAAGGCCAATCTTAGCTTAGCTGGCATTTCCAATTCACCAGCAGCTCTGCAGAAGAACAGCAGTCTCCTCCTTTAGCAATTTACAACCCTGGAAAACCCACATAGGTCACCGAGAGTCAGAACAGGAAAACAATGAGTGAGTGTGAAAGGATCAAATGAGATAGATGATAAAGTGTTAGTCACCTACTAACAAAACACAAACACTATTCTATTATTATTGGAGATGAAATTAGTTCTCACTTAGCACTTTTTTCGAACTAGGGAAACACATTTGTGACTTCTCCATCTAAAAGAAAGACAGCAAAAAAAAAAGACAGCTATGATAAGTATCAAGAACAGATGATGGAGAATAAGAAGTCTGTGGCAATCCAGTTTAATTTCTGGGAATAAGCAATATATATAATTCAGTAGTAAACAGAAATGAGTGGTGCAAAATAAATGAAGTAATGGGAATTTGTAAATCTAAGCCTTTTAAAGTATATCATCCAGGAGTTTTGCAGGTGAACAAGGAGATCACAGACGGTTGAGGTATGAGGGCTAAGGAAGCTGGACAATAGAAAAACTGAAAGCTGGGATTTCAAACATATGTCATGCAACTGTGCTTAATATATGCAGCAAAAATGGGGGGGAAAAAACAAACACCAACCAAACATAAAAACCCAAAAACTAAGTAACAATAAAAAACGCCAGAAAGATGTTCCAAGAGATCAAAAGGAAAATGTTATTTATACACACACTTTAAAACTATTTAAAAGTATGCATTTTGGAAACGGCTTGGAAAAATGGAGAGTCAACAAAGGTGAGGAAGACTCTCAATGGGTTGACATCTAAGTTCCAAGTATGAGAGAGATGATGAACATGGTTCAGATCACCAGGGTCTCTATGAATTGTACTTGACTCAATGGCACCTAACAACAATGAATTATTTATTCTTTTCTATGGTCTATTTCATTCTGAGGAGAGTGCTAATGAGTGTATATAAACCACTATACTCAATGATGAACTGAAACTTTTTATCTAATTTATAGATTAGACACAGTCCTAAAGTCATTGTGGCAACAAAACAAAAAAGCATTTCCTATTGTTGCTAGAACAGCACATCAGCAGAGAATTGCCGGAAGTCCAGGCTGGGTTTAGAAGGGGTCGTGGTACAAGGTATATTGTTGCTGGTGTTAGATGGATCTTGGCTGAAACCAAGGAATACCAGAAGAATGTCTGTGTTTCACTGATTATGCAAAGGCATTTGACTGTGTGGATCATAACAAACTGTGGCTGACTCTGAGAAGAATGGGAATCCCAGAACATTTAACTGTGCTAATGCAAAACCTATACTTGGACCAAGAGGCAATAGTCAGAACAAAGCAGGGTAACAATGCATGGTTCAAAATTGGGAAGGGTGTACGCCAGGGATGCATCCTGTCTCCATACCTTTTCAACATGTATGCAGAGCAGATTATCCGAGAAGCTGGGCTCTAGGAGGAGAATTGTGGCATCAGGATTGGTGGAAGATCTATTAACAATCTGCGTTATGCAGATGACACAACCCTGCTTGCTGAAACTGAGGAGGACCTCATGCACTTGCTGCGGAGGGTCAATAACTGCAGCCTTCAGTATGGACTGAGGCTCAATGTCAAGAAGACAAAGATTCTCACCACTGGACCAATTGGCAGCGTCAGGATGGATGACGAAGAGATTGAGAGTGTTCACAGCTTCAGTTTGCTCGGCTCCACAGTCAACACTCTTGGCACCAGCAGTCAGGAAATCAAAAAGTGTATCGCGATGGGAAAGTCTGCTGTTAGGGACCTCTCTAAAGTACTCAGGAGGAACAGTGTCTCTCTGGAGACTAAGGTGTGCCTGATACAGGCCATGGTCTTTGCAATCGCTTTTTATGCATCAGATAGTTGGACAATGACTAGGGAAGACAGAAGGAGAGTTGATGCCTTTGAGCTGTGGTGCTGGAGAAGAGTACTGAATGTACCATGGACTGCCAGGAAAACAAACAGATTCATCTTGGAGAGGATTAAACCAAGCTACTCCTTGGAGGCAAGGATTCTGGGGCTTTGTCTGACATACTCTGGACATGTTGCCAGGAGGGACGGCTCCTTGGAGAGGGACATCATGCTTGGGAGGGTGGAGGGACGGCGCAGGAGGGGAAGACCCTCTATGAGATGGACTGATTAGGTGACTGGGGTAATCGGGATGGATGTGTCAGGGTCACTATGAGTCGCAAATGACTCGACGGCACATAACAACAACAACAACAATTGTTGCTAGTGGCATCTCAAGTTCACTTTCATTTTACACTTATTTCAATGTACTCTAATTAAAGCAAGTAGAAGGCAGAAGAGATACACGGAGAAAGTAGGAAAGACATCCTGAAAATTCATTTGCATTCATGTCAACCAAGTAACAATTTCATATATTTCTGGAAAAAAATCCAGGTAACTGTTCTTGAAACAAGACACTAAATTTGTTTAGCTATTTAAACTAATTCAGTAATAACAAATTTCTGCATGAAAATTGACACCATTTCAGTCACCCTTTACTTGACTACTTTGCTATTTTCAATGGGCATAAGCACCAGCAGCTTTTATATCAGTCACAGATTTTGTATCAGCATTGTGTACAAAGGATTTCATCTGATTCCAGAATGGTGCTAACAGTTAGGATTATGATCTCTATTCTGAAGAGAAAGAACATTTCCAAAGTATGCCTCTTATCAAGTAGCAATCAAAGAAGTTCAATTGATTCTAAAGCCCTTGCTATTCAGCCCCAACTATTTTAAAGGAATGACTATCATTTCTAAAATACAAAAATGAATTTTAAAATTCCTACTTCTTAGGTGCATTAATAGTGGTCAGAGAACAACTACAAAGCAGGACACACTTAAAGACAAGCAGTTATGATTAGGTAGTTATGGACATCATGTATCAAACTTCAAATCTGATAAAGACTAATTCTTAAAATAATCACATAAAGTCAAAACTTTAAGGGATGAAAAAAGTCTTACATTGTTATTTTCTAATTGTAGTACATGTACTGTGTAGTATGATTTCACATCTTCTGATAAGAACTTCACACTGAATCCTGTTTCTTTAAACAGCATCTCTTGGTCATCTTTTGTTGGCCAGTACTGTGCACATTTAACCTAAATTTAAAAATATGCTTTCTTAATATTTCTTAAAATGAAAAATATTATGAAGCTGTAACAAAAAGAAAAAACAGAAAACACATATATTCTGTATTTTTGTCAAATACACAACCTAGTAAGAGTCATTAGGCACAAATTAAAATGACTTAAACATACTTAGGAATGGACATCATTTATAACCCAGGGACTACCTCTACTCAATACTCTTATCTTAGGAAGACTGACAATTTATAAAAGTAAGTTTGGAAAACATTCTTCTAACTTATAAACTAGTCAGGCAATATATTGGTAAAATAAATTTTTAACAAGGAAAAAAAAAACCAAACGAGGAGACTGAGGCAAGGTAAGACAAAGTTAATTCATTAAATTAAAATACTAGAAAAACATGTATTTTTAAAAAATTAGCCTTTTTCCAAATGACAAAGAGCACATAATAAAAATCCCCCCAGTAAATTAATACTATGACCTACTACTTAAGTGTTAAAAAACATTTAAATACTTGCTAAAGAGCACAAACAAAAACTAGAATTCAGAAAGGAAGTGACAGAAGACAGAAAAGAATTTTAAGTGACATAGTAAGTTCATAAATGAAGTTTAAACGATAAAAACTAAAAGATTGTCTATCAAGAAACGAATGGATAGAGAAGCTCTAGTATATTCACACAATGGAATGAAAACTATGCAGCACTGAAAAACAAGGAACTCATGAAATATTATGCAAAATGGATGACCCTGGGAGGACATTATACTGAGTGAAATATCTCAGTCACAAAAGGACAAATACTATGTAGGGCCACTATTGTAAAACAGGACTGACATCGGGGTTGAGGGAAGACAGAGAAGGAGGGGAGGAATGATGTATACTGCATTGCCAGAGATGAGGGAGAGAACTGTTTAAAAGGGATATATGATTGGGTATTACTGTCATGATAGGAGTCCAGAATGAAGGCTGCATAGTGGAGTGGAGTTGGGGGGAGGGATTGCATAACAGTGAAAGAGGTTCTTCTTTTAATTTTCAAGTAGAAGAGTGAATTGGGGGGTGGGAGGACAGGGAGAAAAGTGAATGAATGCCTGGAAACCCTATGTCTCCATAAACTTTCATTAAATTTAAAAAAAAAAAAAAAAACCTAAACAAAAACCACCCCACTAGAATATTAAGCTAAAAAGAAACAAGTTCGAGAAAAGGAATGGAACATAAAAATAATTAATTTTAAATTATTATTTTGATAAGCATTTATATCAAAGTTAGGCTGTCATTCACTCATTGATGTACATTTTCCTCCCTCCCTTTATCTTCCTTGAAAAGGAGGACATTTTTCTAAAAAAAGAAAAGAAGAGAATCAGGCACAAAAGGAACATGCCAAACATAGAGAACAGGTTAAGAAAACTCAACACATTTGTAGTAAGATTTTTTTTTTAAAGGGACTTAATCAGGAAAAAGGAAAAAAAATATCTGAAACTACAGACTGAAAGAACTCGTTGTACATCTGGAGTAAGTGACCTAGAGAATGACCAACATCAAGAAATGACAGTCTTTGAACGAAAAAAAAAAAAAATCCTTTGAGCATCCAGGCAAAAATTATAAAAGAAGTAAAATAAGGTGGGCCAGCGGACTCTGACAATATTTTGTAATACTAGAAGGAAATTGAGGATTATATTTAAGTTATGAGACAGAGATTTCATGTTCTGCCAAACTGATTTTTAAATGTTAAGAAAGGATTTCCAGGTAATATGATGGACTAGACCCTCTAAGACACCATAAAACAAAGACTGCATACAAACAATAACTCTGGAGTGCCAACTTTTTTTTTAAAAACTGAAGTAGTTTAAACACTAAAGAAATACTGAATGAAAACACTGAGTAAGGATAGACAGAGCAAAGATCCTAACTTTTAACAGCTGCCTTGTGGGTATGGGAACCCAGTGGCTGGTGAAGGATGCAAAAAGTACACTTCTCCTGTGTACACTACTGAACCTCCAGTGGCTAGTGGTTGTTCCAACACCCATGCAGCTCTGACTGAGGTCAGGCCTAAGCCAATTTGCATCTGGCCGATGTGGTGAGATTGGAATTTGCATACATTGCTGGTATATGTAAAATGATGCACCCAGAGAACATCATTCTATGTAAAATATGTCAGTTACTAAAGGACTATTATGGAATAAGGTCACTATTAGAAAAAGCCAAAGAAACATGTATATAGGATCATTCTTGGATGATTATCAGAGATAGGAAAGGAAGTAAAAATTAATAGATAAACTGGGTAAAGAGAAAGGTAAAATATAGTAAGGGGCTGAGTGGGTATTATCATTAATCAATTACATTAACTAATTTTAATGTTATAAAACAATGTGTACGGATGTCTGAATGAAAACTAGTATGATTTGTAAAATTCCATATTAAAAAAAAGATCAAAAGTAGAGATAATGCAAATTAATTTTTAAAGAGTTAGGATCACAAACCATCATCAGTATTTAAGAACTGAGAGAACATAAAACCCATAAGCCAGGGGAGCTCTGGTGGCCTAGTGGTAAGGAGCTGCAACTACAATCCCAGAGGCCCAAGGTTCGAAGCCACCAGATGCTCTGCCGGGGAAGGAGGGACAATCTCCTCCTGTACCAGTCAGATATGATTTGACGGTACACTCACACAAAAATAATTTAAAAAAAAAAAACAAACCCATAAGCCTTTCCTTATAAAACCACTAGTCAATGTTCTTTAAATAATCAGAATGCCTGGAGAGACATTAAGACAGGTGCTGCATATTATTCTATTGTACGAATGTACCCCAATTTCTCAATCCATTCAGTTGTGGTTGGACATTTTGTTCTTGCTATGGTGAATAATGCTGCTATGAACATAGGTGTACAAATATCCATTTGTGTCTCAGTTCTCATTTTCTTGGGTTATATTCCTGGAAATGGAATAGCTGGCTCATATGGGGTTTCTAGTGGTTGTACCATTTTACAATCCCACCAACAGTGTATGAGACTCAGGAACAATTTTGAGAAATACTACATACCTTTGGAGAGACTAGAGAGCATTATGTTGAATGAACTAACAGTCTCCTAAGGACAAATACTGCATAATTAGTAAAACGTGTATGGGGATCAAAGTGAGGTAGAGGTGGGAGCAGAGGAATGAGGATGGGTAGGATTATGCAATTTGGTGGTTGGAGGAAGGGGGTGAAGGAAATACCTAAAAACACATGATAATGATGGGCAAGGTTCAATGATCAGTAAATTTATAAAACAAAAGGCATAGGAATGATTGTATGGAACACAATGCATACAAACTCTGTAAGCAAACCTGTGTGTGTTTTTTTTTTTTAAAAAAAAGACTGCTGGTGAATATAAAATATATATTTACACAGAAAACAAAGGTTAAACACTGTAACAAAGATCACACATACACACACACACACACAAAAAATAAAAAATAAATAAATAAAAGGGGAGCTCTGGTGGCCTAGTGGCAAGAAGCTGCACTGCAATCCCAGAGACGCATGATTCGAATTCACCAGATGCTCTGCCAGGAAAGGAGGGACAATTTCCTCCTGTACCAGTCAGATCTGATCTGACGGTACAGACACGTACAGACACACACACACGCACACACAAAATAATAATAAAAATTTAAAAAAGGGAAAAAAAAAAACCAAAACAAAACTGTAGTATGCTACATGCTCTACATACTGAGTATTCAACATTCACAAAGTGCAAACAGAAAAATAAAATCAGGAAGAGAATGGAAGAATATATAAAAATTTTAAATTATGTTTATTATTTTGGTGATATAATGGTTAGCATTTTTACGTGTATACTTTTATATATACTATGAGTAAAAGCATTGGGATATCTTTATGTATGATACAGGACAAGGTTCTAAGATGTTTTACAACTCTAATGTCTTGAAGAAATTAGGATTCTGGTAAGGAAAAAAGCAAAGAATAATACAGGAAAAGTTAAATCAATCATGTCAATTCCAAATTTGATTTGGAAATAATCAGTTTAAAATACAAGCATATTTTGACCTTAGTCTTGTCTACCAAAAAGGTCCTAAAAACAATGAAAGAAACAGCCCTATTTTTATTGTCTTTAAAAATCAAGAGAAAACTGGATTTCCAAGATCTAGCTATAGCTCAGCAGCAGGAAGACTATAAAAGCAACTTCACTATTCTGTCTTCACTGAACTCATGGCTATCAAGTTGGCTCCAAGTCACAGTGAGCTGCCACCAGGTTTCCGAGGCTGTGAACAGCAAACGGGTGGAGACTGCCCATCTTCCTGCCAGATTTGAACCAAAGGAGACAAACGGCCTTTGGGTTAGCAGCACAACTTAACAGGTTAGACTACACCACCAAAGCTCTCAGTACAAAGAAAGTATTAAAAGACTATTAGCTTTGTGTTAAAAGTATTCAAGGACCAATCTGAGGAGAGGTTAAGTACAACAGGGTAAAATGAATCAAATATTTAAAGTTATGAATTCATAATCATTCATCTGCTCATATCCCCTAAAAAAAAAAAAAAAATTTAAAAAACCACAACAAAAACCCCTGGCTGGTCAGTTACCTGCTAAGGATACGAGAGAATCAATTCCATATTTTTTTCTTTACGTGTGTGTACCGTCAAATCGGATCTGACTGAGACATGAGGCGATTGTTCCTCCTCCTTCAGCAGAGCATCTGGTGGATTTGAACCACGTACCTCTGGGATTGCAGTGCAGCAATTCCATTTTTAAAATTGCTCTTTTATATATAAAAATAATCAACTAACTAGAAGAGATTTCTTTTCATAGACTTATTCCAACATAAACTGAAGAAGGGATGACAGAATTAGAATTTTACCATTTTCATTATATGTTGGGCTGTTAACTAAAAAGGCTGTCATGAGTCTGGAGTCTGAACTGACTTGATGGCACCAAGTCTAGGAAATGTGGTAAACTGCAGAGACTAAGCACTGACCAATAATAGTTGGTAACAAAAGAAAACCAAACAGGACATTAGAGGAACCAAAAATAGTGTCTATGCAGTAATCTGCTGACTCGAAATAATACCTCTTACTAAACTTCTAGAGAAAAAGACTGTAAATGTATTTTCTCATTTCCTGTGGCAGTCTTAATCATTAAGTTTCTAATACTGCTCAAACCACATAAGCTCCAAAGCCATCATTATTCAATTATTAATGTATATTGGAGCTCATGACACAATTCTAAAGAACCATCCAGTCACTGATGAACATGCTGGTATGTCAATGTTACTTCAGATTACAAAATGACTAACTGAAGTTAGAATTCAGAACCTGAATAAGAATCAAAGTCCTTAAAGCAGAAAGAGACTTTAATAATTATTTCCTGATTTGCTTGACAGAAAAACAATTTAAAGCTAAAGCCACTAAAAAAATTAACTAGTTACAGCTCTGCCATACTGTTTAAAATGTAATTTAAAATTTCAATAAATTTATATTTGCTCAAATTTATTCTGTCTCATGACCCAAGAACCAATAATTATTAAGGGAGAGAGGAAATCAGTAATTTCAACCTTTACCAATTCCTAGGATTTTTTTTTACTGTAAATATTATAGACTGTAATAAATATTAAATATTATAAAGATCTTTATCACCACTAATGAATAGTTTAATATTTGTTCAATTATATATTTATGCTATCTTGGAGGTTGGTGGTTTACGACTTTTATTTTAGTATTTAAGAAAAGAAAGTGATTAGCTCTTCCTGCTAGAAACATTGTGACCATAAAACTTCAGCAATTAAAATAAAAAATTAACAATTAAAGTCAAAACTAAAGAATGGTTATTTGAAAAGATATATGAAAATACTTACTAATGATTACATGCCATAAATGAATTATAAGTTACTCACTGATTCTTTCTCCACGACTCGGTTTAACATGACAACTGCTTTGGTCTTTTGCTGCCAAGCCATGAGCCAGAAATGACAACTCGTATTAGGAAGTGGACCCTGTAAGAACAGGAAGAGGGTAAGAAGATAAAGGGAAAATTCAAGAGAAACTTCTTCAAGCATGTTCTTGGATCAAAACAATGTACTGGATCAACTTTAAATTTATTGGAATTAAAAACCAGGTCTGTATTAGTTGGGATTTTTGGTTATAAATTATAAATATCAAATTCTAAAAATTTTTTTCAATTATGTTTTGTGTGAAAGTTTACAAAGTACACTGTGTTGGCACAGGCCAAACAATAGTGTATTTTTTTCATAACATTATTAATTATTATACACATAATGTCTGATTGTCCCTTTATTCCACAATATCCTCGTCTTCACCCATTCCAATAAAATGCTCATTGTCTTTCCATTAATTTTCTATTCTCCACTCACACCCTCCCTACTCTTGAACCATACTAGATTGAGTCTCTCTGTATGTAAACTTTTCTCTAGATTTTACAGTAGCAGTTTTTCATTTAAATAAGCAAAAAAGAATTCTTAAGGGTATTTAGTGACTTTCAGAGTTAAGGGAGGAAAGCAGGAACCATTAGTTAAAAATCTCAGGATTCTACACAGATATCGCCCCCAACTATCATCTTGTTTCTGCTGACACTGCCACACAAAATCAAGGGTGGGAATATCTGCATGAAGAGAACAGGAAAGAGCCATTTCTGTCTGCTTTGTTTTCATAGCAGAAAAACCCTGCCTACCTGATTGTGGCAATTCCCAAAAGAGATGGTGACCACTAATTCAAGTCAACTATAAGTCTCCGTCCAGAAAAAGGTAATTTTGAAAGCACCTGAACCACTGGGAAACTATTACTCTATAAAAGTACAATGTACGTACCCTGCATGACAGAGTACTGGGTACTTCAGTACTTACTGTACAACTCCTCCCCTTCCATCAGTAGTTCTAGATGGGGACATTTGATGAAGTATAAAAACTTGTTGTTGTTGATAAGACTCATGGTGACCCTATGAACAAAAGGCCTGAAGCTTTTCTTTAATTCTCAACATTTATCAAAGTTCATAGAGTTTCCAGAGGCATGTTGTTCAGCAAGTAAATGTCACCCCTGCTTCCAAATAAAGAACATAGTACACCTTTTTAAAGAGAGGTACCTAAGTCTATCACTTAGCTCTTCCATTTACTACCAATACTAATACTTTACCTGCAAAACTGAGACTATTCCAAGAAGCTGACATTTCTTTTTTAGCTGATATTGCTTAAAATGCTACCAGTTTATGAAATAAACATTATTATTATTATTATTATTATTATTATTATTATTGTAATTT